AGACAATGTCCCCAGGGGCTCTTCTGCCCTTAACTTGAAATCGACCCACAGCCCCTGGGTCTCCGAGGTGCTCACCCCCAGTCGGGGATCAAACACGCGCGGGTGAAATGGCTGCAGCTCAAATTTTCGGTGTGGGCGAAAACTGTAAGCTATCGTGGGGAGATGCTGCAGCAGATTATGATGAAACAGACGAACATTTGCAAATCATGGGGAAACCTGTCATGGAAAGGTGGGAAACCCCCTATATGCATAAACTGGCTTCAATAGCTGCGTCGAAAGGTGGCCGTGTACTTGAGCTAGGCTTTGGTATGGCAATTTCAGCGACGAAAATCCAGACCTTTCCCATAGACGAGCATGTTATCGTTGAATGCAATGATAATGTCTTTAAACGGCTGGAAAAGTTTGCTCAAATAGCTGAGAAGAAAGTGACTGCTTTGAAAGGCAAGTTATGAATTTACGAATTCATTCTCATTTAAACTGGTGGTTAAAAGCGTTTCAGAAATTATAAAAAAAGTGACACGTATCTTGAACTTTAGTCAGCGTCTTGTTTAAATCTGCGCTTTTGCGTAAAAATTTTTTCTTTCACTTCCCCTGAAGGTCCATGATTGCGACCGAAACGTCGGGAACCGGTACATTTTTATTGTTTATAATTTCAGAAACGCTTTTAACCACCAGTGGAACTTTCTAATATTTTTAAATGTATCCACCTGTGGTGACAAACCCAGTTTGAATTCATTCTCAGTTGTCTTGTGGGATGAAGGTCGGCCGTTCTTTGGTTATCAGGTGGAAAAGAAATGCATGCAAATTTTTGAAATAATCGCATATCCGATCTACGTTCATTTAAAAAATTTGGGAGCAACTACAGAGTACAGGGGCCCGTTTCGCGAAAGTCCCGGTAACTTAACGGGCCCGTAAAGCTGTTCTGTTTTCATTCAAGATGGTGATTTCAAAAGTTTTGAAATTGACACAATAAAACTATCCGCTAAAGAAACAAAAAGGACTGGTTTGGTTTCCAGAACCTGCCTTCCTATCCTTTAACTTTTGATTTTAAAATATGGCTTCGGGTCCGTTAAGTTACCGGCACTTTCGAGAAACGAGCCCCAGGGCCGTTGAAGTCCACCTTGTCGGCATGCTTTGAAGAACGAGGCAGAGAACGAAAGGATGCATTGTGATTCAATGAGATGTGTAAGTTTACGTTTCACTGTAAGTGAAAGGTAAACAAAGTTTTAAATCAATCAACAAACATTTTCCTCACAAAAACGAGCCCCAAGGAACGTACGATGGACTGCTGGAAAAAAGAAAATCTCGTAAAGGGCGTCTGTGGCTAATTGCCTGATTGCATTGCAATCAAGTGTCAACTTACTTATCCTTTCTATCTAACTCAATTTTCTGGTTAAAGGAAAGCTTGAAATGCAGACACAACATACCTAGTAAAGTGAAACCACAAGGCGCAGCCGAGTGGTTTCCGACATATTAGAGACATTAAGCAAACCATGAAAGTGACGGCAACAAGGAGGGGGCAAAACAAAAGATCTAATGGACAGAACAGTTTCTATTTGGAACTCAATGCTGCTAATATACAGTTCACTTCTAAGCTCTGTATACACCAATAGAGCGTTTTCCACTCACGTGACCAAATTTCTTTATCGTCATGTAACCGACTTCACCATGTTGGTATTTCATGATAATCAGCTGTGAGTATTGTGACAGGAAACATTTGGAGCACATTTTACAGTTTTGAGAAGACAAGAAGGTAATATTTATATTTTCTTTATCATGGTCCTTCGCCTTGTCATTAGCTGTGGGAACAAAATAGGGAAGAAGTGGTCTAATGTCGAAAAAGTAAGGTTTTTTTGCGTCCCACATGTTATAGTCAATCAAGGAGAGTACACCGAAGAACTTACTTCTGACCAAAGAAGAATGTGGATCTGTGCGATAAGTAGAGATGACTTAACTGATGATATTTTAGAACGCGATAGGGTCTGCAGCCGGCACTTCATTTCAGGAGAAGCTGGAAAGATTGGGATCGATGCAACGTAGACTGGGTCCCTACCCTCCATCTTGGGAATTCAAATATGCAGGTCCATTGCATCAGGCAACTATTTTATTTTCACTATAATAAAGTGGGTATTCTTTCTCTCCAAAAATATTTGGCAAGAGTACCATATAACCCCATACATTAATTATACATTCAGACTAGTAGACTTTGTTTTTAAAGTTTTGTCATGAAAGACAAAGAAGTGGAATGCATAATCAATGGATGGGGTTGTATGGTACTCTTTCCAAATATTTTAACTGTAGATGTACCTTAAGCAGTCTAAAATTTAGGAAACATTTTCAATACACCAAATTTTAAAGACTGATATAAATGGTTTCTCATTTTAGGGACATGAATTGCATTGTTTCAGGGTGTATACCATAAGCAAGGCATGTAGAAAATGAAAAAACTTTCTACCTTGACAAAATGGGTTGTCGCTTTTCAGCAGTTTATCTGAACACAGTAGCTTCTATTTGCATGTGCAGATAAAATCTAATTTGAGAGCTTCATCCAAATTATCTCTCGTCTGTTTGCATTTTGATTTTTCATTTTTTGATGCTGGTGTTTTTAGACACAGGGGACAAAACCACTTGTTAGGTACTTTTGTAATTTTCAAACAAGATAAATGAAAAGTAGAGATGGGACGTGCTTGGTTTGTGCATGTTACCACAGGCCCTCTAGTTACCAGTCTGCGAAAACAAGCAGAATTGGGATCAGGGGATGAATGAGACAAATTTCACTTTTGAGTATACCACCTTCCCAAAATTTCTGGTAGCACACAGTATCTCCAGAAGTGACTAAGTTTTGAAACAACAGAGTGCCAGTGGCTGACATCAGGCAAAGTTCTTTCTCAGAAAAGATCAATTTTGCTCACGAAAACCACAAACAACAAAGTCACAGTAAAGCTTTTAGCAGTGAATATTTACTGTTGGATTTGGTAAAAGTAGGCATGCTCCCTTTTCAGACTTGAATCTCCATTTTCTGACTTCAAACAAGAGTTGTACTTGTTAATATACTGCTCCAAGTCTGTATCCTTTAAACAATAGGGGTATTTGACCTCCCTACATCCATTCCCATAGCAATCACACCTACACAAAAAGTCAGGTGTGGCATGTAACCATGGATATTGTTTATTGATAAACGAGCCACATTTCGATACCTGAAAGTTGATGTGCTTTTCCTTCATGATCTTTTCATAAGTTTCAATAGCGACACTTTCATGTTTACAACCATGTTCTGTAGACTTCTATACGCCTTAAAATGGTCCTTACTGTAATAACTCGTGTCAAACACCAAAAATAACAATAAATCCATGGATTCAACCAGAGGCAGGCACTCTGGATCATACTTTTTGTCTGATAACAAGAGAGGATCGATTCCAACACAAGAAATCTTCTCTAAATAATGTTTTTTCACGTGGGGATCGAGCATGTTTGTATACTCTGAGAAAGGATATCCTGCCATGTTAAAAAATATGGAACACCAACATGGCGACTCAACTTTCCTGTGAAAAATGTGACGTCACTTAAGTATATATTTATACACTCAGTTTATACATCAAAATATACAGACGTATATTCTGTATATTGTGCAATACTGTGCCTCAATGGACAACTGGAAGTCTTATTACTAATTAATCACGGTTGATTTTAACTGCAATTTGAATGTAATCAGCTTATTGAACTGTCTAACAACAACCCATCCAATAACAACATGGCAAGTGAATTAGTGGAAAATTGGAATTTTTTAAACCAATCACAATCAAGGAAAATGTCATTTTAATTTTATTCTTAGTAAGGTTATAGACAACAGAAAATTGTAGTCAACTTGTTTTTTTCAGTAACATTAAAATTGTTATGCCAGCTGAAGTATGAGGAGAATGTGCTATCTTTCTATAATATCAGGAAATGGAAGACTTTCTATTCTTCTCAGATAAGGACGAATAAACCAGAGGTCCCATCTCCTGCAAGGTTAGGGGTAGGAGACATTAATTTCCCACACAGGAGATTACTGTGTGGTGGATGTCCTCCCTGGGGTGGAATGGTGGGTGCAAAGGGGTTAGGTGTCAATTGGGACAAAAGTTCTGTTCCTTTCTCCTGCCATTCCCATGGTGAATAAATTAAATTCCTAAATTCCTGAAGTATTTTGAAAAGTTACGTGGGCCTGATGTGATTCATCATGCCTTTGTTGTTTGTTTTAATTTGTGTTATGTAGTGACTTTAACAATGAAATACCAGTAAGAAATGGATGGCAATAGACTTTGTTACCCTGAATCATTTGCTATCAGCTATCTTTAACTTGGTTAACTTGCTAATGTCACTTTCCCTAAGCTTAAATTTACCTTCATATATCAAGCCTTAAGTAAAAACATCAGTCAATAAACATGAAAGGATCTAAAGAGACTTGATTGACACATCCTGATGTATAAAACATTTGGCTAATTTCCTGAACTTAACATTCTTATAAAAAAAAACTCTCATTAAACAGACTAAATGCCCCAAATGACTGTTGATAATGTAAGAATGGGCAAAAGACAAATTCTTACCAAAATGGGCAGGATAACTTAAATTCAAAACTGCCCCAACAACTTGAAACCCCCTCTCACCCTTCCAACTCAAACCATTTTTTGCTTTCCTTGGGAGTTTGAGTGAGAGAGGCTCTCCTGAATTATGTTTATGCTAAAATTGTTGATGTTGTTGTTTGCAGGTTTGTGGGAAGATGTTGTTCCCAGCTTACCTGATGGTTCATTTGATGGCATCATGTATGACACATACCCCTTGTCAGAAGAAACATGGCACACACATCAGTTTAATTTTATCAAAGACCATGCCTTCCGACTTCTGAGGTCAGGCGGAGTACTTACATACTGCAACCTGACTTCTTGGGGAGAATTGTTGAAGACAAAGTACAATGATATTGAAAAGATGTTTGAGGAGACTCAAGTTCCAGAATTACTCAAAAGTGGGTTCCTTGAAGAAAACATATCAACTGAAGTCATACAGGTTGATGTGTCACTCGATTGCCGCTACTATAGCAACAGGGAAATGATTGCTCCAACAGTCATTAAGCAGTGAAACTTGCTTAAGTCTTCCATTATTTCAGTGAATTGTTTAAGAGTGTACTCCACATATATTTATCATGAACTTTAATTCCAACCTGGAGGCAAGTGATAAGCACCATCCATTTCATTTCTCATGAATTTTCTTTTTGGTGAGATTACTGTCAACTGAATTCACAGATATTTATGTAGCTCTTGACTGATGCTACCACATCATTGCTCCTATTGTGAAGTATTGATGAATTTTACAGGACATTACTGTCACCTTTCATGACCAATAGGCATGAATCACCACCCTTTTAGCAGAAAGGGCTATTTATTTTATTTAACAATATGTGTGAAACAAACTTGGAAGGGTTTTGGTAAAGATCAAATGAAACATGCTTACATGCATACTGGTTACTTTTTATAACATGATGCAGATGGCTAAGGCTTCACATATGAAAAGCTTAAGGTGTTAACTTCAAATTTAATTTAAGATGGGTTATCAGAAACAGGACTTGTTCAAAGCTGTTATTTAATGGACATAGGTGGTGCTTAGTAGATTTTCCCAAATTTTGGCCAGATATTGAAGTTTTTTTTAGGAGCTAATTACTGAGATATGCTTTGTGGACATGTCTCATTCACTGAGCTAAGAGGAGTACTGGGAATAAAAGAAGCTTGTGGTCAACTAGATAGTAACAAAATTTTCAAGTTTATTTCTTCAAGCTAGCCAGCCAATTTAGGTAATGAGTATACATCACGTATGACCTTTTTTTCATGCCACTGGCTGTGCCTGGGGGTGATATGAAGAGAATCCCATGTTCTGATTGGCTACCCTAGCATGCAAGATCTCACTTACTCAGGATTGCCAGCTCTAATCCCCTGCAAGAAAAAGAAGTGTGTGGAGCAGCCTTGCAAAGTTCTTAGTTTTCGGACAATATTGGTGATGGTGTTGCAAATGGCGGCTGAAGATGGTAAAAACAAAAGAAAGGTAAACGGTTGGCTAACTTTCCCAGCTCTCCAAATAACAAGTCATTCTTGATTCTTACACGTAATACATCCTTTGTTGACCAAGCTTGTGTGGTCAAGATAAATGGATATTATAGTCAAGGAGCTAACTCTAAAAAAGGCCTTATTTAAAGAGATGGTTCAACTCACCCGACAGAAAAGGTCTAGCAGTGGATTCTTATAGAAGAATTACCCTCATCCAAAAGAAAACTTGGTCAATATCCAGCCATCTTGACCTTACGCTTGGTTTATGTATTATATAGTATATGCTGGGAAGGGAGTCTTTCTTGAGTAAAATGTACTGATTCTGACAGTTGTGATCTGGTTTGCTTGGAGCCATGAGGTCTCTTCTAAAACCCTTTCAACTACTGAAATTTCTTAGACACCCAAAAGAAAAGGTATCCTGACCATCACTATAACTGAATCTCAAGTTTATATCTACCTTTGTGGGATGAGAAAACCAAATGAATTTCTCCTTTACAAGTACCTTTAATTCCATCATGCTTACATGTTACATCCATAATCATCAATGATAATCAAAACTATTTTGAGAGAACAGAAACTTGTACAGCTGCCTAAATTACAACAATCAAATTGATGTAAATAGGAAACTACCACTAGCTAAAGGTCCTAAAGTGGGGAAACCACAGAACTGATCTAGCAAAGAAGTGGAAGCCATCAGTTGAGTATTCCTTTGCGACCAGTTCAGCCTACTTACATCGACAGCATCAACCCCAACACACGAATCAAAATATCAGTGTGAAATCTAGAAATCTGTAACTGATACATTAAATGCATATAACTTATACTTTGCTCAGTATTCATAGCAGATTTTTCATTATAAATGACTGATTAATTAAAAAAAAAAGGTCTAACCCAAAAACATAATCTATGTCTACATAAATTGCAACAACTAATGATGAACAGACTCTTTCAGTACTTCAAAAATAACTGTTAGACCACATAGGAAAAAGAAAATTAAAAAATTAAAAGTCTGTTTGGGGTTAAATATAACTTTTTATACACAAAACTGAACCATACGGGGTAAATTTAAAGTTTATTGATTTGATCTAAAAGATCACCTTCCTTTCATTCTGCTTTTATATTTCTGGGTACATGTGATGCTTCACCTACTGGCTGCAACTGTTACTTTAAAATCATTTAATTGAGTTTCATACACATAGTTGTCTATGTTTGTTTAATTTCCTTTTTGAGATATTAAATTGAACTAGACTACTAAATAATCCTGCTTCTGTCAAAATTATAGCATGAAAAATGTCCAGTGTGCTGGCTTGTTTCAAGATTTGAAATTGAAGGTTGGAGGTGGAAAATCAATTGATGTGTAGAACAGAAGATAACCAGCTGATGTCTGGAAAGGAAATACACTAGTATAGTTAATATGATTCATAATCTAATCCAAGATGTTCAAAAAGGCATGTAGTTAAAAAACAATCAGTTCTGCTTTCAAACTAGAGAAACATTGCAATCCATAAACCATTGATAAGCCTGACATCTTACCCTGAGAGAAATGATTAAACATTTATTTATCTATAAAACTACGATATATAACAAACTATCTGTAACAATGTATCATATTTTTCTTAGTAAACATACCTTGTAACAAAAATACTGCAATACTACAACTCGAGAGGTGTGTGAGAGGTTTTTTTTTTTCAAGTCAAGCACTAAGATTTTGAGAAGTGAGGGAATTGTATGCCAGTAAACAAATTGTCTCTCTCCTGGAAATGTGACTGTTTTCATACCTCATCTCCACCATTACCTTGCTGGCAAAAAAGAACTAAAAACCTGTCACTTAATGCTGTAGCTTTCCCTTGTGACTAAGACTGATACAGCTTATAATGCTGTTGAGGATATAAATCTATAAATCTTATTAACCAAGCATGAGGGCTGTACTGGGAGAATATTGGCCTGAGGTCTTGACAGTACGGACCGAGCGCAGCAAGGTCCGTACAAAAAAGACAGAGGGCCGATATTCTTCTGGTACGGTCCCGAGCAAGCTTGGTTAATAAGAGATTTATTATATGACTGAAGTTCAAAGGGATACAAGTGCGGTATCATTCGGGACCATTCAGGGCAGTGCCCGGTCCAATACTGAGAGAATATTGACCGGCAATAGAGCATTTTGATTGGTTGATTTTAGTTATTGGCCCTCTGACTGCCCGAGTCGTGTAATAAGTTCATTTATTACTACGATGCACAGTTTATGGCACCTTGCACAAATCAATAAGAGAAAATAAGGGAAGAACATACCACAACATCTCGAGGAGACATCTCAGTTACATATTGGTCATCAAACTTGTACCATTTTTTATCATAAACATTTTTTGCAAATGCAGTGTAATGGCCCCCATGCATGGTTCCGTAATGATTGGATACTGCATGTAAGTTGTAACAACGTGTAGCAGATTTGGGACCCACTACAAAGGCAGACATGTCCACTTGATCCATGTGGAAGTTCACACCTGTCTGTAGTTTTTGACGCCACATTCCTTCATACTGAAATCTACAAAATAGGAAATAAATAACCAAACAAATAACCACAACTGCCAATGAAAGTTTAATTTAAAATAATACAGAAGCAGTGGAATTATTTAAGAGGTTGAAATGGAAATAAATACTCTCCTGGGATACTCCCTTAGATTGCACTCTTAAGAGGCTCAGAGTAATGATCTATGTCATCAGGATTGTCAAAATGTGCCACCAACTAGCACAGTTAAACTGTCTACTTTACCTGAAAAGAGCAGTTTGTAATTGTTACAAATATTCTTTCTTCATTTGCATTGTGGGAAAATGGAATAGCTTGCCAGGATACATTGTACACGCTGAATCGTGGTCTGTTTTTAAGAGTAGACTTAAATTTTATTTGAATACTTATTGAATCTGTAGCCATTAAATTTTATCTTTTGTATGTGTTTAGTCAGGGAAATTGTTTTTATACAGGGCTAACCTCATGAATTTCCCTTTTCAGGATGTATTTTTCATATTTGCGTTGCAGCTTCCTGAATAAACGTTACATTATGTTATGTTATGTTACTCTGAAAAATGTGTCAGCTATTCTGAATGCATGTGGCTCCCTGAGCCCTTGCCTTTGGAGGGGCCTTTGACCCCTTGTGCCACCTTCACTGCATCAGTCCAGTTATTCAAAATCTTTTTGACAACCCAGATATTACAGATCAAGAATGAGTTACCGATAATTAACAAGACAGTTTAAAGTAATACAAGTGGAGCAATTTGCAATTGAGTAGTCAGTACTAAACATAATCCATTAGTTTTGGTTCAATACACTTGTGATTGGTATAAAAAAACTTAAATCATCTTCTCAACAACCAGACTGAATATTTGATCTTTACACCCAACATCAGTATGCATATTCTCCATACTTTTGTCTAGACATTTCCCAAGGAGCTGACAAGGAGAACTTGTTTAACAATCAAGAGCTTCTTTTGTTGGTAATCATTTCCTCATTTCCTTGTTAGATTCAGGTAATTTAATTTTAATTATAACACAACCAAAGTAAAGCTCC